GGGGGGACCAGCTTTTAATCCAGCTCTCCCTCCAGCACTGGTTTTTCTCTCTCTCTCTCTCTCTCTCTCTCTCTTCCTCCCCTCCCCCCCGCCTCTGTATGAGGGGTGGGGGAGAGCAAGTAGTTGAGTTTTCTACTCAGCTATCTGATAAGCTTATGCTTATCGAGTAGTTGACTACTCGCTTACATCCCTACTTTGATCAGTTACATAGTTACTGTTTTTATACTGTATTTTATATCCCTAATTAGAGTACTATAGGAACACTCAAACAGTGTTTCCTATACATAATATAAATCTTACAGTCATTCCTTAAGGTCAGGTAGCTCCTGGCATTTTGATCTCTAGATTTATTATTACTGCCTTATGTATTTATACCATGTTTGCATTGCAGATGGAACCGTCCCAAGTTGTCCCTTGCCCAGAAGAAAGATCGTGTTGCTCAGAAGAAGGCTAGCTTCCTCAGGGACCAGGAACGTGCAGCTGATAGCTAAGATCTCTTCCACAATTTTCTATGAAGACTTTGAAAAGTAAAATAAATTTATTGAACCAGCAACTGTGTAGCATTGGCTTATTAAGATTTGATCTAAAGATGCTTTATCTAAATAAAGTCCAAATAGAGTAAGATGCTTACAAAACTAGATTCTGCGGTATTGGAACAGGAGATGATTGTCTTCAAGGTAAGTTAGTATGCCTAAAAATTCTTCCAACGTGTACTGCATTTCAGAACTCACTGGATAACATTGTAAAGTTTCATTTTGTCATCTATAGAGTTCCTCACCCTGTGACTCTTTGGCACTAGCTCTATTTCCCATACTATACCTTTGTCTGTAGTTGTACTGGAATTAGCTTTAGTTAGAAAGTAAGGTGAGATTTTTAAATACTCCACCTGCAAGTCATAGGCATTGGTGATCTGTAGATAACTCAAAAGGAAATTAGTGTTAATTAGATGGATTTATGTATGTACAATAACAAAACCTGCTGAAGAATGTGTACTTAATAGTGGCACTCAGTGTGCCTATAAACGGCACATGTGACTGCAAGTTAGAAACTGTACCTGTCTCATTGTGGCCCCATCAGGGCTGTACTCTACTCAGTGATGTGTAATACCGCACCCTCCTCTCATGTGGCATGAAGTCCCTTTTCCACTCATAGATGACAGGGAGGGGGTGGTGGAAGAGCTCCTTCAGTGCCCATACTGCAGTATTAGCCCAGCTGGGGAAGGGTCTGGAGCTGCAATCAGAAGGGGCCAAAGAACCACATCTCTGGCCAATAGTTGGTCTCCAGAGATATGGCAGTTGCTCCTTGCAAAGGGGGTCTGAAACAGCTGTCCTGGGGAAGTGGCAGTTTAATACATACAGACTCCTTGCAGAGACTCCTAACTGGCATTCCACCTTAATTCTTCCTTGAGCAACTGTAAACTTGCTCAAGAACAAATGCAGTGTTCAGGGGATTGGATAGCTCATTAAGTACCAAGAAAGTTTCAAGGAATGTTGGTGGCAATGCTAGTATATAAGGTTGCTTGCAGAATTCTTGCAATTAATTAGCAACTGAGTAATGGTAATACTGATGTGCCATGAGAAGATTTCCCTGGACTAACTTTTTTTTATCTACATAAATATTAGATAATTAAGTGGGATATCTTGAACCATCCTTTACCAATGTTGACTTTAATCTCTATTTAGTACAGGCTAATTCCATATTTAAACACCTCACTTAGAGATTAATTTAATGGATGAACTGTCCAGGAAGAAAAAGAATTGTAACATCTTGTGGCCAGTAATGCTATACAGAGTGAAAGTTGACGAATGACAAAAGCAGAGGAAGAAAAGTTTGCTGTCACCTAGAGCACAATGGAAAAGTAAATGTGAAAGACAGTGATTTCCAAACTTTGTAAGGTTAGTTGGAAGTTTCTCCATACACATGTAAGAACTGCTTTTGTACCTCCCTAAAGGAAAGATGCAGCTGGTTAAAGTACAGTTTCAATAGTGACCTATAGTAGCAAGGGGACAAAATGTCCTGAGTTAAGTGTTGGTGCTGCTAGTTTTTCTGAGTTGACTCAAGAATCTCCCTCTATTGAAACATTTTCATTATCACTACATGCTATAATTGCCTTTGCTAGCAGTCTAGAATGTTAGATATCAGATTTTTGGGGTCTTGGCATGAGCGATTTCAGGCTAGCTGCAGATCCATGACACTAAACTAGTTTATGCTGAAGCTGGATGTTTTATATGATCACAAGAGTTGGGAACTTTAAGCAAAAGCTCTAAAGCAGGATTCTATTACTGAGGAATACAGTAGATCAGGGCTGGGGTACCTGAAGCTCACAGCCTATTGAGGTTTTTGTTTACTATGTGCAGAATTACCTGATTCTGGTTTCAGGCCACTGTTCCTGCTATTAAAACAAGTGTATGTGACCTTGCATGCTGATTTCACACAACACCCATGTGCTCCAGCTGCATCCAGTCAAAGCACTGCTCTGGTAAATTTGGCACACTTTGCAAATTCTGTGGTTGCAAGTGAAGCTAGCAAGATGACCATAGTTCAAGAGACCATCACACTTGCAATAATCTTGCAATCCAGTCTAGCTTGCCTATGCCATTTTAGGTCTTGCAGGCAGGAGTTGAAAAGCAGTAATGCTTTCCACTCACTAGTTCATCTTGCAGTGCAAATGTAAATTTATACATGAGAGAAAGGTGCAGCAATAGCTAGTATCCAGGATAAGGATATTAGATTAATTTCCATCAACTAGTTAATAGGCACTTCTGCATTCCTCCTTTGAAATGTCACTTCCCTGATAGTCAACTAGGCCTTAGTCCAGCACTAAAACTGATCTGTCAGTCTGTTTTAAACTATTTTTATTAAATGAAACATGAATTGAACAGCATTTAACTTTAGGCCTATTAGTCCCATTAATTGCAATTGCTTAATTACCCCAAAGGGTTCATAACCTAATGCTTTTGTAACATTTAGCAGGCACAACAAGACTGTATATTGATCTCACAAATCATCAAGTATAGATTTACTATAGTGCTCACATTTTCAAAATGAGTTAAGGGTTCAAGTCCTTTAAAATAACCTCATTTGAATTATTTATCCCTTAATTATTGCTGAAAATGGACAAACAAGATCTGACAGCCTGAGTTACTATATATGCCAGCTTTTAGCAACAATACTGTCCTATCAAAGGGCCCTGTTAAGTCAGCATGTGTGAATATTGTTGAAGTTTTTGCTGAACTATATTCCCCCATGGAAAGGGGGGGGGGGGGGGATGAAACACTGTTTACACTAGCACTTGAGGCAAAATTGTTGCTACAGGGAGAGAAGGAGACTTAAGCACCTATCCATAACAAAAGGTTTGTCATTCTATTGCCAGTGTAGACAAAGCCAAGTGTTGCTCTAGTGACTTGCTCCTTTTCTATCGTTTAAAATCAAATTGAAGTTGGACATCTGAAGTTGGTCTAAAATTCTTTGACAACACCTTTAATTCTTAGACACTTATTAACTTACAAAATAAATACTGTAAAAAAAGGGAAAGGATTTTTTTATTGTAAACAATTAACATTCTAAATGAAAACTCCTTGACGGTGGTGCAGTAGAAGCCAAAATGTACAATAAACAGCATTGGTGATAAGTTTCCAGTTATCCCAAAACATTTAGAATATCCATAATACTAGGTTCAATAGTTTACTTCCCAATAGCAATAATAATATTCACATTCAGATTTATCCAGTAAGAAAAAGTGATTGATCTGCCCTCAAAGAGGAGACACCACAGGTCTTATCTTTAAGGAGACAGCAGAAGGTAGACCCTGTAAGAGTCAAATAACTTTACCAAAAAACCCTAAAACAAGAATTAATATTTCCCACAGTATATACAGAAGTGGAAGAAAATAAAATCCTCTAGGGATGTGAAAATTTAACTGGCTAACATGTAAGCATCACCCAAAATGGATACTTGTTCAACTAGTAGGTAGTAGGGGCTGCAGCAGCTCCTCTCCTGTCACAGAGAGGGGCTGCTCCAGACACAGAAGCAGTCTATCTGTGGGGAACCTGGCTGCCCACAGAGCAGCCTCTGCCCATAGGGAGCCCAGGTCTGCCATGAATGGGTTGCTCTGGCAGGAGAGGGTGGTGGAGGGCAGCTGCCCAGCAGTCTGAGGCTGAAGCAGTCCCTAGCCCAGGCCCTGCTTTAGTCAGTTATCCAGTTAAATAATAAACAGGTTAAAAACCAGTTTAACCAATTTACTGAAACATTTCTTAAGTCCTAGTTAAAACAGAAAAGACTTGCAAAGCAGCAAAAAAACACTTTAAATAGTACTTTTGAAATGTGTCATCGTCCCCCCCCCCTCCCATCTCCCTTGAGCAAGAAGAAGAAGTGAATTAAGTGTTTATGAAGGGTTTGTTACAGGTGAATACCAAGCATAGTCTTCACAAGTGTGTTACACACACAGTCTGCAAAATTTTGTGACTTGAGCCACTCCTGAGCAAAGTCAAGAACTGGCTGACAAATCTGGGGGAGGAGGAATGTGGAATATGGACAAATGGGAGCCGTTTCCCCTCACAAGCCAATCTTCGGTATTCACTCATTGCTTCAGAGAATAAACCTTGCACGCAGTAAACATTTAAAAAAACATGCCAAGGATAATATTTTCACTAATTAATGATTTAGTGCTTAGGTTAAAGAAGAGCCCAAACAAACAAAAAACTCCAAATCTGAACACCTCCAAAGTTTAGAGAAATCAAGATCAGAATCTAGATTGTCTTGTAGCTTAAGCATAGCTCTAATTTAGAGATTTGTTAAAGTAAACCAGGAGAGAATAAATGCAAGACTGATCTTACCACACAAACTTTAGACTGGCTCAGTGTTAGAAGTGTAGTTTCAGATACTTCACTTAGTTTGAGACACTAAACATATACTACCTACCCTAATCTATAACTCCTGACCCTTTTAGAATCACCTAGTCCATAAAATCCTTGGCTTCAAATGTGTCTACTGCTTAACCTTCTTTACGTTACTGATATTTCAAGACTCGGCTTTGTAGCTCCTATTATCCAACTGTGTAACAATTTACTGTTCCTGTAGTATATGCAACTTTTAAAATACATAAATGTTTTAAATTCTTAGCTCCCAACTTTGTGTGCTGAACCAGGACCTCTAATTAAGACCTTTTAGCTAACATGGTAACTTTAGAGATGTAAGAAAGTATAAGGTAAAAATGTATATATACAATCTCATACTAAAATACCCAGTTTTCTGGGATAATTTTTAATTGTCACTAAGTTTAGCCATTTTAAAAAAAATTCCATTGTGCAAATTCTGCCATGCTAAGTTATTAGTAAACTTCATTCTCAAAATGTTCAGTTCATTCCAATAAGTCTCTTGAAATCAAGCACATTATTTCTAATAGTAGTGGTGGATCTTTTGGCAAGCATTTGTAACAACTTAAAAAAATAATTCTAAGTGTATATTTATAAATGAATGGGGCAGTCACAGCATTTTAAAAAAAAGTTGAATTAGTCAATTATCGCAGTTAATATTGACAAGGGACCCCAGTTTAAGATTTTGTACAAAAGTGCAAAGGGAAGGCAAGCACATGGTTTATTTCCATGACGGAACAGTCCAATTACAAAGCTGTTGTAACTGTTGCCAGATAATTCATTAAGTTGCACATTCTCTCTCTGCGAAGCACTGTAGTAGTAGTGTTTGCTGGAGTAAGATTTAGGAAAAAGTTAATGAAGTCTAAGTTAAGAAGAAATAATTCAAAAATGCCAAAGAAGCATTTGATAAAAAGTGGTAAGCGTCCTATAGTGGCAACGTTTTCTTCTGTGGTTAAAGATACTAAGAATCATTTGTATGGGATATTTTCTTCCACAATAAAGTTTTTAAGTTGTTCAGTATTAAAGAATGCTCCATTTCCATCTGGTTTGCTGTGACTTTAAGGGCAATACAAGAATACAGTTGTTTCTCTAGCTCTTCATGTATTTCTGATGGAGCACCACGAAGCAGGTAGTCTTTTAGTAAATGGCATACTTTTGCCAAATTGGGCTGAATTACTTCTGTAGTACATTTCATTTTACTTTGGTCACACAGAGTTTTGCAGTCTGTACCATAAACACAGTCCAAGTCAGACTCACAGTGACGATCTTTAATTAATTCTTTCACATTAATTTCTGGCACAATTTTTCTCATATCCACCATTTGCAAGTCATATTTATCATTATAACCCAAGTTTTTGGCACTGGTATCACACATAAGAAAATTCCCATAAGGTCCATGGAAAACATCTTCCACAAATTCTAAAAGCCCTATGGCTATTTTTGCCTTTCTAGGCCATGATGGAGTAAACCACTGGTCCATGCTTCTTCTGAAACTAGAAGGAATAATAAGTTCTAAGATCCATGGAAGGCTTATTCCATAGAGAGAGGTATATTCAACTCTTTCCATCACATAGAGATCCCCACAAAATCCCATCAGTTTTGGGGTGTGTTCTTTATCTTGGAGGATCACCATTAGCAGAAACTCATTTAGCTGCAGAAGAGCCCACGCTGACTTGGCTTCTGGTAAGGAAACTCTGCCATCTTTATTTCCATCAGCAACTGACAGGATGAGATTAACCAGTTCAGAAAGATTTCCCTGTTCACCCAACCTTTTCTAGAAACAACAAATACATATATTTAATTCCATATAAGTTTTTTGGTAACATCTGTTAAACTGGTTGTGACCTGTGTTTTTACATTCAAATGAAGTATTTTATCCATTCTTCTCAGCTGCATGTGGAACTGACAGCAGCATCTATGATCATGCTCCGGTTTTTCTGGTTTCACTAAAAGTTACACATGCAGTGTTTGTAGGACTATACCAAGTGTTCCTTTCATGTGTATGGTGCACTGAAAGTATGTGACTTTCCTTTTTAAAGCCCTCAAAATTCACACCTTGTCCTCAGTAAGGGTATGTCTACACTACAGTTTTGTTGGAAAAACGGCCTCTCTGATAAAACTTGAGGAACATCCACACTGCAATTGTATTCTTTTGCAAGTAAATTGAAAGAACAGAATATTGGTAATCCTCATTCTAGGAGGAAGAACGAAGGCCTTTTTGCAAAAGAGCTCTTTTGCAAAAAGGCCTTCGTTTGCAAAAGAGCTCTTTTGCAAAAAGGCATGGGTGGGCAGGGAACAGGGAGTTTTTTTGGAAGAGGAAAAAGCACAGGTCCCTGGTGGCTATTCTGTTCATAGCAATCACTGTTTACATGTGAGATATAGTGTCCAGATTGCTCTTTCAAAAAAGGGCATTGCTTTTTCGATGTGCTTTTGCAGTATGGACACTCTTTTACTCTTTCGCAAGAAGTTTTTTCAGAAGATCTCTTCCAAAAAAAAGTTTCTTGTGCAAGAAGCCTGTAGTCTAGACCAGTGTTTCTCAACCTGTGCTCCATGAGACATCTCCAGGGACTCCGCAAGGTTGACAAACTGGAAACACTGATAGGTACAACACATACAATCAGTGGACCGCTGGGGCGCAGCATACATTTTTACACGTGTAAAGGGCTCTGAAGCCCAAAAAGTTTGAGAACCGCTGGTCTAGATGTAGCCTAAAAGAGGCTTTAATACTGTGGTGTCCAACCAGTTCTGAAGCAGCAAACTAGCCACACTCAACTGGCCAAATACCCACATGTGGCTACCTTGTTGGACATCACAGCTTTAATACATTGTCAGATATCTTTATAAAAGACATTTTGTGGATCACTTGTTATAAAAGTTTTGAGAGTTCAAACAGCACTTCATAATATTGAGAGCTTGTTTTACTATGAATCATCTGATTAAAATTTGCATCTTGCAATAGTATGAGAGATTACAATGAACAGAATAATTTCTATCCAGGCATAAGAAATATTGAAAACTTAGTTAGTACTACTCCTATATTAATAAAGGTATTTCATGCTTTGTTCTTTCACTTAGTATTACAACTTTCATTCCAGTGGTTTAACAAGCCAGCAAGATTGTGGCGCTTTTCATTAGGGAAGTCCCAATTTCGCTGGAATCAGAACTGTGTTCCACACATCTATGTTTTGGGGGGCTGTGCGTGTGTGCGGCTTTGTCTACAGACCGACCATTTTTTGGTAGTCTCCTGCAATTACTCTGGCATCTCTGCAGTTCCACCAATGTTAATTATAAGGGAAAGCACTACTGCAAACTAGGCACCAACATTCTTACCATCATGTTGCATAGAGCAGCTCTGAGCATGACTAGTGATGCTTGTAGAGCAGCTGTCAGGATTTCAAATACTCTCACAGTCGCTACACTACTAGAGTTGCATAACAGAGTAAGAGAATTTCAGAAAATCCTCAGTGTAAACATCTCTTTAGATCAGCATTTCTCAAGCAGCTTGCATCCCACTTTGAGAAAAAAAAACCTGGTTTATATCAGTGGCTCTCAAACTATTTGGCCTACAGCCCACCCCACTCAATGCAGACCACCAGCCAGCCACCATGACTACAAAATGGGTGTAGGATGGCGTAAGGGTCTGATCAGGAGCACAGTGGAAGCATGAGGTGCTGGCCAGACGGGAGTACAGGAGGGCTATTTTCATTTTTATTTTAAATTACTCAGTCTCTTTAACAAGTGACCCTGGGACTAAAATTTTTCATGCTTACATGATCGTCTTAGCAGCAAACAATGTAGTTTCTAACATTCTAACATTGTGGAAAAACTCCATTATCAGGCTTTGTCTACACTGCAGGATTTTTGCGCAAGAAGCTTTTTGCAGAAGAGATCTTCTGCAAAAGCACATCCACACCTCAAAAGCACAATCGCAAAAGCGATGTGCTTTTGCGCAAGAGAGCGTCTACGCTGAATGGACACTCTTGCACAAGAAAGTTCTGATGGCCATTCACAGAATGGCCATCAGAGCACCTGTGCTTTTTGTGATAGGCTTTTTTTTTGCACAAGAAATCCCTGTTGAGCGTCCACACACCTTTGTGCAAGAACTCTTGCGCAAAAAGGAGTAGTAATCCCTCATAGAAGGAGGTATACCTACACCGCAAAAAGTCCTCTGTTCTGTCGATTGACTGTAGATTTTCTTGCACTAAAATGCGCTTGAGGTAGGTATAGCCCCACAGTAGATTTTTAAAGCGAACAAATAAGAAAGTTATTCTCAAAACTAGTATAAATGGTTATTGCTAACCTAACTGGAATTACTTAAACAAATAGTCTTGCAGCACTTTACAGACTAACAAAACATGTTGATGGTATCATGAGCTTTCGTGGGTACAAGTTACTTCAGACTGTAGCTTAGTAAGTTTGGACTTTTCAGTGGGAAGAGTATACAAATTAAATGCAAACATAACAGCCAGGCAAAAAATTAAAATAAAATCATGGTGAGAATCAACATCTATTCTTATTTTTTCCTCTTTGACATATACTTACTTTAAAAAGACCATATACCATTTCTTTGAATTTCTGAACAGTAGTTCCTCTAGTTGGTTTATCAAACAGAGCTATTTCTTTTCTTGGTTCTAGTTCAGTTCCAAGATCAAGATGAATAGTTTCTTCCATCTGGCATTTTATGACACCTTGCAGATTACCCCAGATTCCTAAATACATCTATGAAGAAAAGGCAATGAGATTCTATAGCTATACAAGATCTCCTGTCTTCTACTGCCATGAGTCAGAATGCTACATTTGCTCATGGAACTGTTAGTAGTCAGCATCCAGACTGGTAGCGGCAGCTCCCTGTATAGTGTGCCACTTTAAAACACATTTCTGAGATACTACATCTAAATATGATTTTAAAGAGCAACAGGCCCTACACAGCCTAGAACAGGCACACACCCCTATGGGGAGCAGCTACTCCATGGGGGGAGGGAGTCAGTGTGGGGGTAGAAGCTGTGAGGAAGAGAGGGTTGCCAAATTTCGCAGACCGGACACCATTTTCTGCAAAGGTTTTTGGTGCATCCTGTCCAGGAAAGGTGGCAACCCTAGAGCAGGGAGGGAGGCTCACCTGCAGCTTCACAGCAGCAGGCAGATGGTGTGGGCAGTGAGAATGCAGGTGGTAGGAGCAGAGGGTAGCTGGGCTGCCAGCCAGAGAAATGCAGTGCTTTGAAGGGCCAAGTCCTGCTTCTCTCCAACTGCCGACTGTGCAGCAGCCCCCTGCACCTTTGGAGTCCTCCAATCTGTGTTCTCATGTGCTCAGTGCTGTCTGGTGACTGGGGCCTGAGCACAGCCAACAGTGGAAGGAGGCAGGGGGCTGCCAGAGCCCCAGAACTGAGCATGCGTGGGAAGGGAGTAATCAGGGAGAAGGGGGGGGGCAGATGAGGCTGCTGGATCCAGCACTGCCCACAATCCCATTCCAGAGCATACACAGCATAGGACCACCATATTTGGGGCACCAGTGTGATGCCCTAAATTCAGTATAGCCATACACAGCTGTGTAGGCTGCATATGCCTAATCCAAGACTGTCCTGAAGAAGCCCATGCGCCATAAATATATTTTTCACGCGATGGCAGCAGCTTCTCCATGAAGGCTAAGGAGGGGCATTTATTTTGATTGGGTGGTGCATGATGGGAAAGAGGAAGTCCACTGTACTAGAACACTGTCTCAAAACATTTAATTTCAGCCATTTTGGAAGTGACTGTGTTGTGGGATTTCACAGATGCTGTCATGCAGGGTCCACACCAAGTGCAGGTTTATTGTATTTTTAAGGTTTCAGGATTTTACAAGTGGAATTTGTAAATGTTAGAGAAGTAGAGTGTCACATAGTTATTACTTAGAGCATACATATACCCCAACATCATATGATATACCAAATAATCAATTACTCTAAGAAATACTAAATATATATACTTATTGAACTATTCTATTTATCTAAATCACAGGGGCCTCATCCCCCCCCCCCAAATTCATCACAAATGTGCTGAACCAAACAAAATGCCTAGAATTAAAGACTGAGTGACAAACATTTTGTTAAAACAACAAGTGGTCTGGTAGCACTTTATAGACTAACAAAACACATAGATGGTATCATGAGCTTCCGTGGGCATAGCCCACTTCTACATTTTATTGAAACAGAAAGTGAATTAAATCCAAAATTCACACAAAGTATCATCCATGTAAGATGGAATATAACATCTTAGAAACAGCAATTCAGGACAGACTTCTATACTGGTTGACTGCTCAGATTTCTCTCTGTGTGAAGGGGATTATGGAAGTGCTGTGCCACAGGATCCATAGTTTAATAGTCTCATCCCTTGAATTACTACTGAGCAAAACTTTAAATAAGTAAAATGTATCTGAAGTGATTTACAATAAGGCCTGTTTAATATGCTGGTTCTCTCCCCAAACCCAGTATAGATAAACAGTCATATCATTAGGTTATATAAATAAAGTCATACCTGGTTATTGGGTTTTGTTGACAAACATTTTCCAAAATAAAGAGTTTCTCTAGCACAAAGACTACTACATGCTGATCCATCAATAACTCCAGTCTTATATTTATCACACTGAAAGACAGAAGGGTAAATAGTTTCTAGAAAGAACAGACAAGCAGGAAGAGGAAACAATACATCTGCTGGATTTTCCAATAACTATGCTTTTGTCCTGTAAAATGAGGGGGAAAGGCTGTATAAACTCTGAAATATTTCTGGGGTCCAAAAAAATTCAGATGTTCCCCAATTCTGCAAGCTGCTCCAAAGAGGTAAACTGCATATGCACAAAGATCCTATATATAGAATAGAATACAACACAAGATTGGAGCTAATGGGCTCTATGCAGACCCAGAGGTGTGCCTGCAAGATCATGTACTTATTGAGTAAATTATTCAAACTGTGAGACAGACTTGAATAAAAGGAAACTTAGGATAAATGGAGCTTTTGGTATCAATCATACCAGACCTATCAAAAACAAAATAGAACTACAATAAAACTCCAGTTGTCCGGCATCCAGTGGTCCGACACTCCTGATAGTCCAGCATCACCTGGAACCCGGACGGACGCCTGGGGCAAAGCAGCTGCGGTGCTGCCGGGTTGGTCCTGCAGCGCCGCCCCACCACCACCATCCCTCCCACCCCACCCCAGAACCCTCATAGCCCCCCCTTCCAATTTGACAATCCTGCACTCCCTGGGTCCTAAAGGTGCCAGATTATCAGAAGTTTACTGTACTCATTATATAGTGTCAAAAATAGGCATTGTTAAATAAAACCTTTTATTTTGGCAAAAAATGGACCCACTGAAATTTTCCATGGGTCCGTGTTTACACGAGGGGCGGAGGTAGGAGGGGGAGGGGAGAAGGAGAAGAGGCAGCTCCCCAGGAGTAGGTGCATGCAGAACCGCCTCCCTCTCCACTGCTGCCTCTGTATCAGACACCAGCAGGAGCGTGTGCTTGCGGGATGGGAGGGGTGTGTGCATAGCTTAAAAGCCAACTCTCTTTGCATACTGGCTCCCGCCTGCACCCCCACCCGCAGTGTTGCTGTATCCGATACAGAGGTAGTCGGGGGAGGGGATGTGATCATGAAGGTTAGCTACACGTTTATATTATCACATCCCTAGTCAAAAATACTAGGGCCTCAAATTTGGCAAATTTTATATCTTTACTTTTTGGTGAAATTTGAGGATTTCATGTTTCTGAAAGAACAGAAAAAGGAACAGCCTGCCATTGAGATCAAAATATGAATTTGAATCTACACATTTCTTCATTAAAAAATAATACCTATGTTTTGCTATAGGTACTCCAACATTTTAAAAATTCAGGTATAAGGTTAGATTATTCTAGCAACTCCCCTTGACCAATAGTTCAGGTGTAATTGATCAGAAACCAAAAACTTAAGATATTTACTCATTCACTTAAGTCCCCCTGATCCCTCACAACCAGGGAAAACAAATGGAGCGCGTGCCTTAAAAAGTTAAATACAACTAAAGTTATTTTGGATTCTGAAGAAGAAAGTTCCAAATCTAAAGGGCCCCTGTAGGGAACACACTGCCAGCTGCTCCTCTTATATAAGCAGCTTTTCACCTAAGTGTTTTGTGGGTTCCCTAGTAGCATGCACCATTTTTTAAACTCATCAGAAAGCATTAAAGGCAAAGGAAATCACTCATTTAAAATTAATGCTATTCTCCCCTAACAGAACTGCCACAAAGTGAGTTCGATCACATGGTGGTTTAAAAGTGAACCATTTAACTGATAATAAGAGTACAAAAATAACTGGTTTCAGATACAAGAATCTGAAATAAGGATCATTGTATTTGTGTAATGTAATAATAAATATTACTTTTTGATAAACTGAACAATTCAAAAGAATCATAGAATCATAGGAATGGAAGAGACCTCAGGAGGTCATGAGTCCAGCCCCCTGCCCAAAGGGGAACCAATCCCAACTAAATCAACCCAGCCAGGGCTTTGTCAAGCTGAGACTTAAAAACCTCCAGGGATAGAGATTCCACCACCTCCCTAGGTAACCCATTCCAGTGCTTCACCACCTTCCTAGTGAAATAGTTTTTTCTAATATCCAACCTAGACCTCCCCCACTGTAACTTCAGACCATTGGCTTCTTGTTCTGCCATTTGTCATTACTGAGGACAGCCTCTCTCTCCATCCTCTTTGGAACCTCCCTTCAGGAAGTTGAAGGCTGCTATCAAATCCCCCCCTCACTTTTCTCTTCTGCAGACTAAATAAGGCCAAGTCCCTCAGCCTCTCCTCATAGGTCATGGGCTCCAGCCCGCTAATCATTTTGGTTGCCCTCCACTGGACCCTTTCCAATGCGTCTGCATCCTTTCTGTAGTGGGGGGCCCAGAACTGGATACAATACTTCAGACGTGGCCTCACCAGTGCTGAATAAAGGGGAATAATCACTTTTCTAGATCTGCTGGCAATGCTCCTCCTAATGCAACCTAATATTCCATTTGCCTTCTTGGCTACGAGGGCACACTGTTGACTCATATCTAGCTTCTCATCCACTATAATCCCCAGGTCCTTTCCTGCCAAACTGCTACTTAGTCATTCAATCCCCAGCCTGTAACCATGTCCAACCTAGACTGATAAAAGTAGATTGATTAAAAAAGCTTAATAAGACATAAAATTATACTTACTATTATTTTCTTACAGTCATGACCTCTGCATAGCTCTGTGTAAGTGGAGTACTGAACATATACAATCCAGCTGCCAATAAATACTACTAACCAAGAGATGAAGAGATATTTAATTCGCATATATGAGAGGCGAGCCTGAAGATGTAAAAAAAACCACAAACAAACAAAAATAATTAATTCAGGAACAGAATTAACGGCTTCTAGTGTCCTAACTGGATTTGCTATTCAGTCTTAAAGATTACTGGATTTGAGATTTTGTAAGTTTAGAACATTAAGATTCAGCATCAAACAAGAACTGGAACTAGATGCCTACTATAGGAGGAAAATAAAGACTGATAATATAAATTGGGAAAATGAGACCAGAGTTGGTAAACAGTAAAATATATGATACTGTCAAATTTCTACTATTCCCACCTGTCTTAATTCACCAGAAAAAAAACATTTCTAAGTCGCTTAGAAGTGCTACTTCTCTAAAATAATTTCTAACAGAACAGAAACTGATGAAAGAGAACACCAAACCTAAGTTAAAACTAAATATTAGATCATCTGTATTAAGGATGTTAAAAATCTGCTTAAATGTGTGACGTTGAAAGTTTCAGCGGTTAAATGTTGGAGGGTGAGGGGGGGTGGCTCCTGCCTGACCTCACACTACTGCTTCTGATACAGACACATGGGGATGAAGCTCCCCAGGAGCTGATCTGCACTGGGACCCGACTTTTAAGCTAGCTCCTCACACATACCAGGAGCCTGTGTGTAACTGTGAAGGTTAATCGATGAACCCAGGCTCATCAACAGGGCTCGTCGAACTGCAGCAAGCCCTGATCGCCAGCCACGCAGATCGCCCGAACCCGGCTCTTCCAGGTTGCAATCTACTCGCCCATGAGCCCTGCTCATCAGTTACACTTTCACATTCTTAATCTGTATATGGAAGTAGCAGGTGTAGCATGGGAATTACTTCATTTTGAACACTCTCCATTGTATGGCTAAACAGTGACATTCAAAGGAGGATGATAGAAAGTTCCATGTACTATTCTGATTTCCAACTGTCTTCTACCTTGCCATATTTTCATTTACTGGATGCTTCCATCCTATCAACAAAAAACAGGGAGATGCTCACCTGGCCATTTACTTTTTTTCCCTTCCAAACCACCTGGAGTACTCATGGTCTGATTTTGCACTCAGGAACAATAGAACATGTTGGAAAGAACAGAGCAGCAAAGACCTGTCTTGGCTACATGAAGAATGAGCATTCAGACTGAGGGATGCAAATGGGTAACTGGTGCCCAGGAGTGGCTCCAGCTTGGCAGGACCTACCACACTATGGGGATAGGAGCGGATAGCCCTGTGGGGCCTATAACTGCTCCAGACGGGGCCCTACCCACAGGATCTCGCTTACTCGTTTAACTGGTTAACTGATTAAAAACAGGATTTTCAGATTACATAAATGTTAAAATGCCCATTCATTCTTTTTTAGCTACATAAAGCACAAATTTCATAGCACAACAGTGAAACTAAGCAGATATGCAAGAAAAAGAGAGATGGGAAAGCAAAAGCAAAGATATGAGAAATAGTAAAGTACATGAGAGATTCTGTTTCTGGAGGTTCTTGTTCTTAAGTCATAACTAAAGGCCTTCAAACATCCACTCACACCAAGTATGATATAAATATGATATTTGGCTGGAGATATTAATTCCAGGAGAAAGACCCCTGTAATACTGGATTGCTGTAAGTGATAGTGACTTTAAATTAAAGCACTCAGAATATTACAAAATTGTTTAAGCATGTTAACATAAAATACTACAATCTAAAAAGGGATCTTAGTATGGAGAACAAAGGCAGAATTTGCTGGACATCTAAAGTAGAAGAATACCTTTTTAATAATAGACATTTAAAATAAAATCAGTACTAAAAACAGAGGGGTTTTTTTGTGTGGAAGATCATTAACTTTCATGATTATGTTTCAACACATTTCAAGGAAAAATAAGAAATGCCATGACATTGTGTTTTTTAAGTACAGGAGACCCTTCCGATTTGTGGAATTGCTATTTGCAGTTGTGTGTATTTATGGGGGGGTTCCAGTCTTGTGGAGGGGGCTCCCAGTATTCACAACTTTTGCCAGGAATGCATCCACCGTGAATGGCCAAGGTTTCTTGTATCTTCTGATTAGTAATCTATTTAGTTTAATGTCTACTTGCTAGACACTAAGGGTTAGTGTACACTAGACCCGGAAGATCAGCTTAAAGTATGCAACTCCAGCTGCAGACAGCCAGAAGGGACCATGGCACATCACAGGCAGGGGATAACAGACGGGGTAGGGCTAAAGCAGCCTGTTTGTGGCAGGGTGTACAGGCAGGGATGCCACTCCAGCTCTCTCCCACCTCGTTCCCTTTTTAATCAGTTAACTGGTTAACCAATGTTTAACTGGTTAACCAATTAAACAGGATTTTACATCCCTATTATGGAGTAGTACAGTCTCAAGCTAGGCAGACCTGCCCTTAATTCAGAGCTGAGATGCAAGACTTCCAAGGAAAGCCCAGGGTGCTTCAGAAACTGCTCTTTGCCAGATTTTCTTGTCAGGTACTGAACCAATACCTGGCATAGTGTTAAAGAGCACAGTGTGCTAAAGAAGGTTCAGTTTTTCAGATGAAAAATTGAGATCCCAATAGCTTGCAGTCATTAAAGATCTCATGAAACACAAGTCATGGATTGTTATCCAAAATGTTCTAATTGCATTTTAGTTTGTATAGTTACATTCTGCTGTCTTATTTCTTCCTGAAGTTTCATTGTGATGCAGTCTTTGTTCACTTCACACCCAAAAGTTTCATAAGAGCCAAGAACATATGTTTGCTGCTTTCACTCATGGCCACAACATTATGTCACTGAAGCTGTATGATTAGCTCAGGCACGAAGCAACACTGGGTATGTCACAAGAGAGACAAATTCTGCGAGTGCCCCCCCAATCCTGGTTCCCATGAGTGTTCCACGTAACCTGTGCACTTAGCTGGCCACCAAGAAAGAGATTCAGGTGCTGCCCAGCTAGTTAGCAGAGCACCTCACAGCAGGCAGCATGTATTGTTACTGGTGGTACACATCTGCACGTGCAACTTATTTATTGCCAGTTGGTTTCAACATAAATACTGGACACACTTGACATTACATCATAATCTATATCACATCTTATTTAGAAAATACTGGACATTTATATTTTCCTCAATTTGTTTCCCGAACAGAAAGCTGGACTGTCCAGTTCAAAACCGGACACTTGGCAACCTTAGCACTGGAAGAAGTTAGAGGGAACACTAGTCCCTACTTCCCCTGTTCAGAATAAACAGCTCCAGATAAACAGCTCAATAGTTATGTGTCAAAGATTCCATCTAAAGTCGCTTATTTGGCTCCAAAAGATGGATTCTCCCCCAAACAGTTTTTTCTAGAAAACTCAAAGAAAGTTAGCAGCAGCCAAGAACACACTGATTTTTGTATCTAAACATGCACACAAGTAAGCTTTCAAAATGTAGCTACTACATTCCTTAAAATTACTAGAAGCAGTACATTTGAACCCTACCCAGGACTAGGCTCCCTGTAAGCTGCACAGCTGTGCAGCTGTTTTCTGAGCCCCACATGGAAGATCACTCACCCCCTCTCTGAAGAGGAGCAGAACCAGAAGCAGCTGCTACTTCCTGCTACAAATGGAAGAGTTGGCTGCAGTCTCTACTCTAGTCTTTCCACGCCTCCATGGAGGGTCTGTACTTGCTAGGGGTGAGCAAGTTTCCACTCAGGGAGGCAGGAAACCTATGGAGGATCATGTGATCCTCATGGAGCCAGAGTTGCCAGCTGAAGGGGAGGAGGCCCCTTCCAAGGGGCAGATCAGTGCTTCATTGTCTGTCTCCCAGACATATGGAAAAAGCTAGATAAGTTACAGGTGTTGCCATATCAGGTCAACTTCTCTGCCTCTCAAATCCTCCGCTGCCCGGTGAACTGCTAACAGGGCAGCAGCCTCCCCCCCCCCCAGGATAACAACGGTACACAGAACATTGCTGCATTGAGCATCCAGAAGACTAGGGCCTTTATGTTGCTAGCCTATTTACAATGATTTTGACAGGCACCACTGCAGTAGAGTGGAATGGCAAAAACTGCCTCTCTCCTGCAGGAGGATGGCAACCATCCCTAGCTACCTTTGCATTGCAGAGTACTTCCAGAAAAGCTTCATCAAGATTTCTCAGGAGGATAAGGAATATTCCTACATATATAAGAAAGTTGTTCAATGTGCACCCCAGATGGTGCTCGCCTTCTTCCCCACGCTGTATTTTTCAGTGGTTATACATTTACATGATTATACACTTTTTAACATCCCTAGTATCAATAAGGTTTAGTATAGCTTGCCATGAACAAAACATTAAGCATATTTTGGAAAACTAATCGTCAAGTAATCATCTTATTGAAGAAACTTCACTTGTGACAATACCTATGTGACTTACTGCTGTTAGAAACTAAATAAAATTGTTAGACTGCTTTAATACTGTTTTAGCAACCAAAACCCATTTGTACAAAATATTTAAATTTTGAAATGTTTCACTTTGAAACTTGCTTAGAGTCCTGCTTTTCGTTCCTAAACTGCGTGTGCTGTTGCAAATAGGGTTGCCAAGAGTCCGGTTTTCGCCTGGAAAGTTTGTTATTCATGGCCTCTGTCCAGTTTAAAAAAAAATACACAACCCAGAAAATACCGGTCATGTAACATTTCCTCTGCTGTTTGGTCTCCTGATTTTTTATTTATTTTTATTTTTTTTGCGCTCAACCAATTTTTTTCCCCTGCCATGTTCGGGATTTTGTGTGAAAGTATCTGGCAACCCTAGTTTCAAAGGAAATCACTTCAACAAGAAGGTTACTCATGAAACACTTGATTCATGAGAACCATTTCTTACCCTTTATTTTTCAAAATTGCTGGAGAGAATGAGTGCAGTTTTCCTTTAAAAACAAAGAATATTTACCTAGAAACAACACTTTTTCAAAGTATTTGTAATTATTAACGTCTCTGAAATTTTCTATGAAAGGGTCAGTACCATGGTTAATAGTGACTGAAATTGAGCTGTTACTCATGATGCTTAAAATAAATCCCAGTAATCTTTTTCAAAATTGTTTTTGGGGTCCTGTGGATATATTTTGGTATAGTTTATCAAGATATTACACACCTTTAATATAAATAGTGGAAAGGAACATGATCTAAGATTATTAAGAGCCAATTTGGTTAAAGGAAACTGACTTTTTTGAAGATTCAGATAGCCTAGAACAACTGAAATACTTAAGACTTTTCTTACTTGCACCTAGTTTCTTGCCTTTGCTTCCTCAAAATAACTGTTTAGAGAAAACTGCAAATTGCAACAGAAGAAATAGACAGGAACACCAAAACTATCAAATCAGATCAGAAAAATGGTCCATCTCATTGAGCAGAAAGCACTGACAGCGTGCACGATATTTGAAAGGATGATGCAAGAAACTGCAAAATGGAATTATCCATCCAAAAAAGATTTTAGATCTATAATCCAAATCAACAAGTTTGGATATACTTATATTATGGGTTTATGGTTCAGATCATATTTTCTTTAAGCTAGAAGATTTATTAACACTACAGAAGCTCTCCACAGAGAATTCCAAGTAAACTACTATTAGAAATCTCTGATAAAAAAGGCCTAGGAGAGAACTACCTGTAGTAAGGAGACTGAATTGCCTCTTACCCTTATAGAATGTGGTCCCTCCAAATCAGGACTCAGGTCAGCAATAGGCCAGTGTAAGAAAGCTCACACTTTGGCTGCCTGCATCATATCTGACCTGTGAATAAACAGAGGATTTCAGTTTCCAGAACAGCCAGTTCCCTTAATCTACATGCACATTAAAACAGATGACAACATTAAATTTGAGTAAGTTACTGACTTAATCATTAGCTTATTTTTTTAAGCCTGGGGGCTAGAGTCCCTGCTAGGAAAAATATTTGGGTTTTTTAATCTTTGGACAAGGTCTAAAATGAACCTTCTTAAGAAGGTTCCTGAAACAGTCAAATTCAAATAAACATTAATGGAAAATTTTTGAAGTACGCTTAGGTCCACACTTAAAGAAACATACTCCTGAGCAGTTTGTTACAAAAAAATATAGTACCAACCAACCCCCCCCCCCAAAAAAAAAAATCACACAGGAAGTAGATCTAAAACCATATTTTCCTGCACAGTAGGACACTTAAGATTCTATTTTCACAATACATGAGCAAAAGACAAAATGTTAAAAAAAAAAATCTGACCATCCTGTATTGTTGCTTTGTCTGCAACTCTTAAAATGTGCAAGGATAGCAAAAAAGTCGGGGGCTGCATTGGATAAAGAGTGCTCTTCTAGGGTATATTAAAAGGAAAAAAAATAAAAGTCAGACATGTCCTTATATTCATCCTGTCACTAAAATAATTTTAAACACAGGATTCTTCCTCCAAGGAACGAAGTCCTTTTTCCATCTCCTTTATCACCAATGAAATTAAGGATTTTAATCCTAGATTACTACAAAGGAACTCTATTAAAGACCTACTACTCCACTACACATTCAATAGCTTTTGATATTAAGTCTACACTCAGTTCTTGTCATCAACAGTTATTTTATATAGTTTCACCATTCTTAGCAAGTTACACAAACTTGTATTTAAGGGGGCATTTCCCTCCACCCCAAAATTCATTCTGGTAAGTATATCTCGGTATTTGTAACTGGCAATGTTCAGCTTTAATCTATACTAAATTTTTCCTTTCCAAGGACTTAGTTTATAAAAAATTGTCCTAACTTCATTGTTAACATGAGTTGATACGTTAGAAGAAATCCACTTGAGCTGGCCTAACACAAGTGAAAGCATGCATACTGCAAAGGTTAGCTTAAGAAGCCATCTTCAGTTTGCATCACTGTTCACACCATAGAGCAGTGATCTCCAAACTTTTTAAGCACAAGATCACTTTTTTTAATTTAAGTGCAATCTACCGCACACCCAAATACCCTTGCCCCACGTCCTTTGTGCCCCTTCTCAAAGGCCCCACCCCTGCTCACTCCATCCTCCCTCACTCCCCCATCCTTTCATCAAGCAGGGAAAGGGGGTTGGAGTGCAGCCTCTGGTCTTGGATTAAGGGATCTGGAGTTGCTCTGATCTGAGCCTAGGGCAGGGAGTTGGGGTGAAGGAGAAGTTTCAGGATACAGGCTCTGTAAGGGAGTTTGGGTCTGGGGGTGAGGCTCAGGGCTAGGGCAGGCAGGAATTTATGAAGGAAGCAGGGGTTCAGGATGCAGGCGCCAGCTGGACACGGCTTACCACAGGTGGTGCAACAGGGCTTAGGCAGGCTCATCCCTCTCTGGTCCTGCACCACTCTCAAAAGCAGCCAGCAAACTCCCCCTATTCCAGGTGCTGTTGTGCCCCCTTCCATTCTGTGGAGACAGACTACAGGATGGGAGAGGGGGCTCCCTGACATCAGTGCCCTCTCCTCTTCCTTCCCTGCCCAGCAAATGGTGGAAGCTCTACGACAAAGGGCCGGAGGTGCACAGGGGTAGCTGAAGTGCCAGCATTTGATAGCCTCTTGGCCAAACCAGTCAAGATCACCTGTCAGAGGCTCCAAGATCAACCAGTAGATGGGGGATTTACTGGTTGGTGACCACTGCCATAGAGTACTGATTCAAGTGGGAGTGCTTGTCCACTTGGGACATACTCCTTGGTTCTCAAAACTGCACTGTTCTGAGCAGTTCCTTTCAAACTTTCACTGTATAAGTCAGAAAACTATCAATTCTGGTCAAAAGGGTGAAAGTAGTAACTTATTGCAGTACACCACTCCTGCATGTGTTAGTTGTTCACTTTCTGGTGGAAAGCAACAGATCCCACTCAGAATGGGGATACATGGCTCTTACAGGGAAATCAGGAGCTGGTTGGGTAATTTTAGAGTGGTAGGTGGTGTCTGGTGTGCTCTCTCAGTGTTTATAGGACATCCTTCTTTGGATTGGCATTTGTTGTTATGATGCCAGAATAAAATTGTCTTTAAGTACTCCTATCACAATCAAACTCACAGAAACAAAACGACTAAACAGAAAGTTTGAATATATTCAGTACATCTGCTTTACGCATTTAACAATGCAACAGTGAACAGCACTATCAGTGGAGCCAATTAAACTTTATTACTCTACAACAATGCACTATACTATCAGTCCAGTTGCTTTAAATAGATGTGATGTGCCAAGGGGTACAGGGCCGTGTCACAAGGTACAGGAATTACACACAGTCAGGTGTTACCGCCCTGCACAGAAGTAAACTAAAGAGGTTAAACTGATCAGGGACACTTACTGCCATGGACTGAGTAACTCCTCCTGCCTAGAGGTCACTGGATACAGCTCATGGTATTAATGACTGCACAATTAGGCTGGAAATGAACCTGGGTAAATTTACTGGCCAGGCTGATCTGGCACTTGCTGACCATAATGCACAGAAGGCATTCAACCTTTGCGGTGGGTTCTCTTTGTGCTTCTACTAGCAGTCTTGCTCACAAATGGCACAATTATTGACCAAGAGCGCTGCCACCATGCATTCCTCTCTCTCCAGCATCATCTTAGCTGCAGCCTGAGAGTACAGTTCCTGCTTCAGCATCACTTTAAAGCTTGGAGAGCAGGTCAGACCATCTGCCAATATCTCTATGCATTTCCATTCAAAGCCCTTCTGTGACAGCTACCTTCTGCTTCTCTGGTTCTAGATTTTGGTGCTGATGATCACTGGCCTTAGGGGTGGGTAGGCGGATTGCACCTGTGCACATTAGGAATGTTAAAAAGCAGGTAATTGGGTTTAAAATGCAGGAAAATTGAGTTTTTCAGCAGTTACATGTACCCACAGCACAGGATGGCAGCCGGCTCCCCAGGAGCAGGGTGGGGGCCTGCATAACAGTTTTAGCGGTAACAGATTAAACAGTTACTGATTAAACAGATATACTTTTTTAATCTTAATGCAAATAGGACTGTAAAGCAAAGAAACAATACACAGCTTTCCTTTGTAGGGTTAAAAAAAAGGAATTAAGTCCCCTTTTACCTTTGTTTGTCACATCAAGATATTAACTGAAAACTTCAGTTTGCAGCTGCTAAACTCCAGAATGCCTGACCACTTCAACAAATGTTTAGTTTTCATACAAAGTTAAAAAATTGGGGAAGCTTGCTGGGAAAGGAGAGACCTGGGATACCAGAACAGTACTAATGACACTCTTCATATTTCAGGCTATGGCAGCATTGGAAGTTGCCCAGCCGGAGAAGCAAATAAATATTTGGAAACTATCCTGGATCCCGTGGAGATGGGAGGCTACTGCAGACAGAAGAACAAGGGAAGACAGCAGTTGGCGCCTTTACATTTCCTGCTAGGTAGACATTACTGGATGCCAAATTTTCGTGGAGGGGGGTATTTCCTATATTCAGCAAGAAATGGTGAGACAGCACTACCTAAAACCCAGTCTCTGAATGCCAGGGGTGTGAAAAGTAATTATGGCTCTTAAGCCCCAAAGGGAAGCTACAGATGGCATCTCTTATAGGCCATCTTCCACCACATATCCCTCTGTGTAGATTGGTTCTACGCAAGTTAAAAAACAGGTCCCTTGTGTGATATCCACCCCAACCATATAAATCAAGTCTTTACCTTGATTAAGTAATGCTATTTCAGCAACTGTTTTCTGATCTCCTTCCCAGAGTTTTGGTCAAGGATGGAGTGAATGTTGCGTTTAAAACTGATTTGGTCTCACCCAAGAACTCAGCCACATCTCTGAGTCCTCCTCAGGACCCTTTATGGTCAGTCACTCATGAGCTTCCCAAGAGGCCTTTGACCAGCCCAGTGTAGAGCTGCATGCTACTTATCACTCCAACTGTAGCAGAGTGAGTTTGCCAGGGCTTCACTTTTAGGTTTGCCAGATGGTTTAACAAAAAATACCAACCCCCCCCCTCAAAAAAAACCACACCCAATTCTGTTGAGAAAAAAAAGGGGGAGACCAAAGTTGTTAAGCAAAAAAAAGGGGGGGGCACTGCACCTTTAAATGGCTCTGCGCTCCTCACTCTCCCACCCCCGGCAGAGGAAAATTGCCCTCAGCTTCCATCCGAGGGAAACAGAGGAACCCAAGACCCCAGGAGTTGTTAAGCAAAACCACCACACACCAGTGGCCCCTTTAAGAAACACTTTGTTTTTGAAGCTTTTTGGTCCTAACAGGCTGCCAGCAGCCACCCACCATCTTGCCTTCCTGTGCTGTGGTGGACAGCTCCCCTGCAGAACCAGGTAAGCACCTGGGATTTTCACCTCCTGGCCGGGAGAGAGGAAATCAGAAAATACCGGACATTTTAGATGTCCAGTATTTTCTGATTTTTTTTTTAACCAGACAGGAGGTGAAAATAACAGACTGTCCAGTTCAACACCAGACACCTGGCAACCCTACACCCAAGCACCTTTGCTAAAGAGCTGCTGGTGCAACACGAAACCAAGCCCTGCTCTCAGATCTGAAGAAGAGCTCTGCATATAGCTTGGCTCTTCCCAGTGCTCCCTGCCCATAGAAGGGAGCCTGGGTCACAAAGTGCCTGAATTCAGCCCACTTCCACTCCCCACAGCCCGATTACACTGCTCAGAGCGGGCAGGGGTCAGACCCTGTGTGGCTACTACCAAGAGCCACCAAGCTGGGAATGACAGGGGAGGCAGCAGAGCCTGCTCTGCAAAGCAGCTGCCTGCTACCCAAAGCAGAGAGGCAGATCCCAGGGCAATATAATGGCAGGGCAGGGGAGGAGGAGATGGGGGTTGCTACAGGGAACTCTGAACTCAGGCAGCAGGCGTGGAAAGGAAGGTGACTCCCATAGTCAGGTCTTTGAATGGCCCAGTGGGAAGAGGCAGAAATTCTACCCCAGTCAGTTTTGGCTGAGAGCCAATGGAAGGAGCCTAAACGCAACCACAAAGCACCTGTGGGCTTCTCTCCTGGACTACGGCTGGACAACATGCTTGAACAGTGCTCAGGAGCACGGACAGGGCTCCTTCTCCTCCCCAAGGCGTCACTCCTACGTCAGACGCAAGGAGACGCAACCAGGTGAGGGCTCGCAGTGCTGACTGTGGCCCCGCCTCCCCGTGCCGACTGTGGCCCCGCCTCTCCAGCCACTTCCCCCCGCCAGGCTTCTGTTGGGCACTCAGCTGGAAAAGCAGAAAATACCGGACATTGCACATGTCTGGTATTTTTTTATTTTTTTTACTGGACAGAGGGCACAAAAAACAGACTGTCCGGTTGAATACTGGACACCTGGCAACCTATTCACTTTGTCAAATCCCTGAATACAATGTACTTCTGGCAAATAATAGCTGTGCTAGAACAAATGCTACAGGTGCAAAAGACCAAATGGATGGTAGGATCCAGACAACATCTGATCAAGACACACTGTAGGGCAGACAACAATTAATCTGGGTGCAAGATTAAGGAAGTCTGATATTTAAATGGACTGTAAGCTAAGTCCAGACTGCATTACTAGTGCAATCTTTAACTGCACTCAATAATCTTCCCCTTCATCCCAACAGGCTACCTATCTCAAGCTTGAAGCACTACTTGACTTTAGATAGAGACATGTGTGCAGATCTGACATTATTATTCCTCAAAATAATGTGAAGACAAGTCCTTATTTTAATAAAACTCAGCAGTATTAACACGTGTCAAACAAGATACCTACATACAACTGAGATGTAACATGTACTGATATTAGAAGAACTAATCAGCTGAGTAACTGCTCACCAGTATAAGGCTAGGTATACACTGAGCTCCTTCAAGGCACCATCCAAGGCAATTCTGCTCTGTACAGCCCAGATCCTGAATACACAACTGTACATTAGGGATGTTAAAATAAGCTGCTGATTTGAACAACAGGCAGCCAAGAACCATGTCTCTGCTCCCCTCCGGCTCAGTTATTCACTGAAGTACATGGCCAGGCAAGCAGGCAGGCAGGGAAACATT